CGCCAGGCCAGCTCCGGCCGGGCTCGCCGCCGCGCTGCGCTCTTAAGGGGCGGGCGGCGCTCCGGCGCGCATGCGTGCTGCGCGGCTTCCCTCCGCCCCCGGCGCCCCAGACTCGGGGGAGCCCTTCCCGCTGCGGCACGACGGAGGGGAAAGGTGTGGCGGTGGGCAGCTGCTGCCCGCGAAACAGGCGCCAGAGAAGGCGTAACTGAAGCAATCCAGGCCTTGCCAACACGATTACAGCAGCACTAGAAGCAAACTGAAGTTGCTTAAGGAGGACCTTTGACTAAGCAAGCCGAATCTTTCACTACTCGGATTGGTTCTCCAAAGGACTGTACTCTCCATTTTACAGAGAGTGATGTCGCCACTCAGATGAGCGGTCTCCCTCGGCTTCCAGCAGCTGATGTCCCGGCCACGGCTGGTCCCGGGCCCAGTGGGGAAGACCTCGGATGTCTGCGGCAGCGTGCACACGGCCGGGCTGCTCCGGTGGGCCCCCGGCTCCCACCACGAGATGGAAAGAAGACAGCTCAGCAGAAACATCACACGTCTGGCCACTCGATGATTTGTGTCCCTTCTTTCTTTCTATATTTGAGTGTGGCGGTGTATCGGATTCCAGCAGAAAGGTGCCTCCGTCCAACATTTGGCCTTAGTGGTTTAGACAGCTGCAGTCAGGAAGAAAACAAGGTTCAGACAGACCAGAAATTCAGCTTTGATGAAGGAGAAATTAATAGCTTCTCTCCTGCGGAAGCTGAGACAACAGGTGCTGATGCTATTAGAGCAGCAGTGATTACTTTTAAAGGAGCTAGTGCCCCTCCCCACACGGCCTGGGGTCAATAGACCCGAATTCTAGACCCGGCCCGACCACAAGGAGTCTCCGCGTTTTGCTGGTCTCAGTTTCTTCATCTGTAAAGTGGACCATAAGCTGTGTAACTGAAAATAGTGCTGCTGTGCTTACTTTTTTATATTCTATGGAGCAGATTTTGAATTTGAGAATGTTAGCTTGGAAAAAAACAAGAAAATAATTCTAAAAAAAAAAAAAAAAAAGCGGACCACAGGAGGTGAGGACTACTAAGGTCCCTTCCAAGTCCACAGCTGTAGAACACAAGGCAGTTGTGTTCGGGGCACTCGTGTATGCCTGGTTCTTGGGAAGACTCGGATATCACTGATTATTCTTCCACTCGCCCAGGCAAGGTCAAATCAAAGAAGAAAACCCGACCCTACTTCACCCTCCCCAACAAACACCTTATTCTTTTTACTAAACCTCTCTTCAAGTATGGCACTTTATTTCTTTGCAGATTCTTTGTTATTTTTAGCTACATAAATTATGTATTTTAAACCCACCATTCATCAAGTTTTTTTAAGCTAATGAGTTAAAATTTCAAGATCAATGAATTATTCATTCAACAAATACATGCTGAGTGCTTATAATCTGCTATGGTCCGTGTCGGGTACTGAGGATTCACCAAGAAGCCAGACGTCATGGTCATTTTCCTCAAGCAGAGCCTAAAGTCTCTGGGTAAAACACAGAAATTGGACAGAAAAAAATTGAATAAACAAAAATAATGCAGGTATGATAAAAGCTCTGACCAGTGATGCACAGGGTCAATTTAAGCACCTAATCTGCGATTAGGGTGGAGAGTGAGGTCAGAAAAATCATCAGAGGAATGGCACTTAAAATTAGACCAGAAGCAGCCAAGGGAAAAAAATCAGTTTTTCAGACTGAGTCATTTTATTGGGAGATTACTACTATCTAACATTTACTGAGGGCCTTCTATGTGCCAGGCACTGTGCTGAGAGTTTCACATGCATAGTCTCGTTTAATCGTCACAACCCTTAAAGAAGACGTAATTACTGTCCTCAGTTTACTGGTGAGGATAACTTCCTGATCCAGACAGACAGGGTCAGTTTGCCTGGACCGCACCAGTTCCACCCGCTGCTGTACGGC